ATAATCTCAATGCCTTTTTGAGTTGTGGACATATTTACTTATTTTTGGCTGTAACCAAATCTTTTTATCAATGAGCTTCTCCGGATATCTAATTTTAATTAGTATTTCAAAGATAGCCTGATGTACTGTGTACCTCACAACTCACAAACTTAAGACTAATGTTCAGTCTTATCAAGTAGAATATACAAACAAGTAACGAGGATGACATCCATTAATGAATGAACATGCAATACAAAATCAGTGACTACGTGGAAATCTTCTGCTTTAGTACGCATTGCCTTGAAATCCCTGGAATTAGCTATTACCTGAAAAAGGAAATAAACAATCAAAAGATGTAGATATTGTTACCACTATAAATACGAAATAAAAGTGGTGGGAAATTCTATATAATTCGCCAAATTTAGTAATGATTCAGAAGAATTTTGCTCAGGTGGATGATTTTGTTGTGGTTGTGTTCTCTGAGCTGGATGGTTAATTTGCGAAGCTTTCATCACCCTACTGGGTGACATCTTCAGCGCATATTTCAATTTGTTGAAGTGAGCCGTATACAGGCTACTCTATATGCAGCAAATCAAAAACCCAATTGACCGCCAATGTCATAGCCATTTAGAAGACGAGAAAACCAGATTCGAAGCAAATTTGAAACGCGGTAACGTTTATCCTCACGCGTCAATGGTGCTAACTGGCACAGGAAAGCACCAGCCTTATGCTTCAGTTTCTTCGATGTCCAGTACTTGTTTATTGCAGTCCACAGTGTGAGACACTGAGCCATTGACGTCTGACACATACCGTCAGGTGTTTCTGGTAGCCTATCAACCCCGATATCATATCCGAGAGTGAGAACTTGTCGAGTGTTTTCAGGCAGTCGTCTTAGCCGGAGTGGATACATGAGTCGTTAGCCACTTTCTTGGCCTGGTAAGTGTCTTTGTATATGTCGCGTGGGTTAAGACGGCTTTTTGTCACTTAATTCAGCACTAATTAACAAAAGATCCAGCACTTGTATGTCAGACAGTGATGTGCAATGCGTAAGTCCTTTCAGTTTGTCACAATGAAATTCAATGGACGATATATTTGTGGGCGTGTTGTAGAACTTCATCAAGTATGACAATCCTCAATATGCCAGGTTTGGCTTTCTGCAACGTTGGCGTATTGACAGTGAAGTAGTGTTCCAGACCGGAAAACCACAGATGTGGATCTCTGGTTATCAAACATGTATGTCAAGAGTAATACCATGATCAGATTCCGGCTAAAATTTATCGGAGTCCTTACAGGATACATTAGGATTCATGAGAAATGATTAGAAATTAAAAAAGAGAAAGTGCGAAGTGGAATTCTAGCCACCGAGAAGTAGTAATGTAAAGATGATATTTGACACAGTAATCACATGGGAACTCTGTTTTATGTATAGAATACATATATTTATGGAAATAATGAATGTGAAGACATGAAACTGTCACACAGCATAACTTTCTTTCACGTATACAGAAAACACCCGCCACCAGCTTCTCACTGACATGGAGATAGGTAAATAAATGCACATGCCACAGTCGTATTCATTCAGGTCTTTCAACATGTTACATGTCAGCTTGTCCTACGAGTTCTAATCTTCCAGATCTTTGAATTCACTTCTCACTGAAATATCACATACCTAACTTACGATAATCTTTTCATTCAATTGAAGTGGTGACAACGTAAATTGGACATAAGAGCTAAACTACTGGCAATATATCAGTAACCTGCCGTGTAGAGTGACATTTTTGAAGGTTTCAGCTCACTGTCCCATCAAATCGGGTTTTTTCACCTTTTGAAAGATATTAGACCCTCTTCTTCGCCGTTTCCTCATAAATGTCTCCTTTTTGTTCACTTATTTGTCTGGTTGGGGTAGGCTCATACGTGAAAGAAACTTATTTTATTATCTTAGCTGGAATAAGGACAAGTTGTTCAGAGGGTAAGGAAGACCTAATTTTTCAGTTTATGCGTATAAATACTATCGCATTACAGTTCCTCATTAAGCAAGAGATGATGAATGCCTTGCCCTCTCTTCTGCATAAGGAAGTTAATAACACAGGAATTACTTCACAAGACTCTCCATATGAAGTTCAGGAAGGACAAAAACAAGTTTTTTCACTTCAGTGTCATGAGTTAATTTGTGAACTGTATAGACTTTGACAGTAATACATTTGTCAAGGACACTTCATTTTGAAATCAAAAGTGCACATGTTTTACTAAATCTTATGCACTTCCTGTATACATTTGGTGTTCGTCAAGTGATCATCTAACAATTGCTGAATGTTGCAATTAAGCTAAAATTATAATTCGTAATTGTAAGAATTGTTGTCATTTTGATTTACAGCAGTTCATAATCTATCGAGTTCACACAACCAAAATGCCCATTTCTCACTTTACTGAGAAGATACTAACTGGGTATTTTGAGAAGTCAGTATGTCATTTTGTGAATTTCATGAATTCTACAGATTGCATTCTATTCACTTAGTACAGAAACTAAAGTATGAGGGAACTCATATTTCCAAGAAGGATGTAATACGAGACTCGTTTCCTCAACTCTTATGCTTTAGTTTAGTTTCATCATACATGTATAAATAGAAATGTCTGTCACTCACTTTAGGGACTAACCAGGGAACAGTCTCGTCCATGTAGGTTGTGAGAAGTGACCAGTGGAGCTGGGAGATATGAAAATACTACTGGTGCTTGATCGTAGGTGTCTGTGACCTATCCCCCGTGTTAAGTTGTATAATATGGTGAGTAATAATGGTGTTAATTTTCCACCGCTATAGATATCGCCCGTCCCTAGGTTACCATTTCTTCCATCTCCATGCGTTTTCATAGCTCTCAGCAACCGATGTCCTCTGAGTCAAATTTATTCGTGTCCTCTATCCTTCATGAGATTTTGGTCAAACCATCCGCTCCTGCCGTCATTTGAGGGCAAATGATAAAGTTATTTGAGGAATATCTCGATGTATTTGATGATGGGGATAACCCGACCCGGGACGAAACGATTTTTATTCAAATGTCTGATCATCAATTTCGCTCATGTATATAAATGAAGTAGAGTTGTGTGAGTAGTGACTTGATATGATTATGAACAACAGTTTATACTCGAAACGTCATTAGTTAATATCACTGTATGACACTGTGTTACTTATCAAAATGAAATCTTGTCTATAATCGAATCAACAAAGTGGCGTAAAATGTTTACCAGATGAAGTAGATGGCGCTACTTGAAATAGGGTATATGGCATGTATTCATCCCTCTTTCGATGTGAAATTTCCTTTTTATGGGTTACAAAGAACATAACAAACAAATTTATCCTTGTCTAGGTAAGTACACACCAATTGTACAGGCATGGATAGGTATTATTTAAATTACATTAATTTAGTTTGTGGTGAAATTACATATTTGCTGTTCATTTTGTCTTTAGTTTGTGGGTACAATCTATCAACTAGTCATCAGTGGAGGAGATTAAGAAATATAGAAATACTGAAAAGCAATGGAAGTGACTCATTACATCCATTTCAGTTACATGTCATTATGACTTTTTCGCGCATTACACCTTCTAAACTGGCATCACTTTTCACTTCGACAAACAATTAGTATTGTTAATAATGCACAAATGTCTTTTAAACATTTTAGAAATATTTATTTTGACAAATGCATTCATAATATCACAAATGTTTCATCATTCACACGTATATCCTCTGTTTATGCATCATAGAAACCTATAAAATAGTTGAACGATTGCGAAAATAACAATCGTCAACTGGAAAATGAAAGCAATAAAAGATGTGTTACAAAACGCTTACTAGTGAATAAGTGCTACGAAACAAAGGACCTCTTAGTTAAAAGGTTGTCTCTCCACTGTTATTTTACCAATCAATCAACTGTACAATCTTGTGAGTATTATGAAATTTTCACAATCGTCACATTCAAAACATTTATTCGTCATTTGGGAAAATTGGTTCCATTTACCTAGATTGTTTCACATTTCCTATCGTAATTAACAATTTACAAGGAATTTTAACATTCTTGATGCACAGTAACGCTTCACTTCTATGACAACTAGATATACAGGGAAAATGCGGTGAACGATTACTTCCTCCTATTTTTCCAAGATTTTGGTTAAAATATGGTATTTATAATGCATTTCAGTTGAGAGGAAAAACTCCTGAAAACGAAGTAAAACAACTAAAGCACAATATCAGGATAATAGCTGATTTCTGCAGCGATCACCTGATGTGTGCTTCTATCTACTGCTTAAGAGTCCACGAAGATGTATTTGGAATCGCAGTTTTTGAAGTTCACCTCGACAAAAACAAGCGTATCATAATGAGTGAAATGAATTAGGCTGACTTTATCTTCATAGAACTCCTCAGTGGATATTAAAATCTGGCTGTTATTAGCTTAACTTGATGGAGTTCAGTTGTAAGTTTGTCTGTACTACAAAAACATTATCCCACACTTCTGTAGAGTACGTAACAATGTGATTGTACACTTTTTGTTAGTGGTTGAAATTAGAGACATTGTACATGATTTTTGTTTAAAGCGATTCATGTTTAAAATTCCGAGTATAATTCGAAATGCACCATACTGTTGGTAGCTTCGCCTTCTCTCTAGCCATTGCTATCTACTTGCTCCACTCCTACCGTGTTGTCCACTTTGGATTTATTGCAGGAATCTATTATCCTTATCCGAAACAACTCTATAACCGGAACACAGCTTCCACCAATAGACGCGATTCCATCAGTCAACGCTTCTGTGGATTATATAAATAATTTGTAGCAGTCGACTTTAACAGTGTATCCAAGTAACCTTTTTATTAATATAACTCATTACTGCATTTTGATAATATATTGTTGCACTATCATCTCAGTGACTTGGATTTTTATTTGTATATTCGTCATGTTAATGAGCTCTCTCTAAACAGTCCCCTACACTTCTTCTCAGTTTCCCACTGTTTCGCATATCTTCCCACATCACCCATTGTAAGCGCAATATCGCTTGAAATTAAGTCACGCGTAGATAAAGGCTATCCCGGTCCAGAACAAACAAGAAGCCGGTCACTGTTTCTACGGTACTATTAATAAACAAATCAATAATTATATATACAACAAACCTTAACGGTTTCAAGAGTACAAAGCACAACGCTTAACAGAAAGCAAGGTACCGCTATCAGAGCGGAATAACGTTAAAGTCAAAATTGCGAACTAGCCGGAACCAGACACGACCGTTCAGGTAAGCAGTCAGTAGAAGAATGAACCCAAGTAAGGCATGGCATAAAACAGAGAGCGTTTAAGAGAGATAGACCGAGCATAGGCACAAAGATAGAATTTAATTGGCTACTTAACCAGGTAGGAAAATACAGATGAAAATCAATAAATAAGATAAACTCGACAGAATAGTACAAAGTTAGACATGGGTCAGCAAAAATAACAGTTCACAAAATACTCTGATTGGGCCATGAGTTCAACTGTCTGACTAAACGGATCGAGGTAAAAACACATACACACAGTTCATTAAACAAGCAGGGATAGACACGTTAGGCATGGATAATTGGGTTGCAACAACTCTAGGCTGATCCGGGACAGGTTGACTTGATTCAAGGATGGGGATAGAATTGATCTTACACCGGCCCCCAAAATCCGACTAGGATTTTATGAATCATGTTATACAGAATAACCCTCGTGCCCGGCTCTCTTACAAATGACTTCCCTCTAGTAGGCATATCTTACGTATATCGCGCTTCACCTCGCCGTTTCTCTTTCTTATTGTAACCGTTCTGACAAGTTCGTCCGCGGATTGCTCGCATTCCGCAATAACTCCTCGCGGCCAACGCCTAGCCAACCATCTTGCCACCACAGAAATCGTAATGCTCCTCGATCGTCTACTGGCACCTTCACTTGCATAAACATATCAGCTATGTCCGCGACCACACCAATAGGCTTTTCTCGAAAGCGCAACAGAGCACCAACAAGCTCGGCAATCGTATCAGGTCCTTGATATAGCTTATCGTTCAAAGAATAACCTCTAAAGGTTCCGGCGCAATCTATAACTAATCTCAGTTTATCTGGCTTTTTCTGCTTCATAACGGGATGATGTGGAAGATAACACCTCGAACGATAGTTCGCTGCTAGCTGCTCTGTTGGTACCGGAAGGGCATAACCATTTTTTGACATCGTATTTATCCCATCCACATATCGTGCTAAAAGGTTCTTGTCACACGATAACCTCTGTTTCAGATTGAGTAACGGCTTTATGACGACTACATAATTATTGTCTGTTACCTTTGTTGGATCTTCCCATGGCAAGGGAATAATGTAATGCGCCTTTTCTAAGACGGTGCTTTGAGTAACAAACTCGATTGCCTTACGATCTTCAATAGAAAATGAGTCTTCGTTTTCTTCAGTATCCTTAAGCTCAGCTTGATGTAGACTTCTGATGTCGTCTTTGATACTGTCTTCGCTGATTCGAGCGTAATTGACAGTGCCTCTTATCGTATTTCCATGAGTTTTCCGTTCGTCGTCCTCGGCTAACTTCACATGCAGCTCGGCCATTTCGACATCATGTCTAGCCTTTAGCAACTTTTTCTCTAACTCTAACTCCTCTCGAAGCTGTTTCTCTTTTAGCTGAGCCCTTAGTAGCAACGACTTAGCACTAGTTACTCGCGATAATAATAATTTCGAACTACTGACATGAGAGCCGGGGCACGAAAGATTACCAACATGATCATTTATACGAACGGGGACTTGCTGACTCTCCGACTGCTGCTCCGAAATTTGATTCCCTGATCTGGTTTGCATTGTTCCAAAGACAATGTATTGTCAACAACGTTGCGTGCTGCCAATTCACCACAGTTTCTTCTCGATGAACGCTCAGTACTGACCAGTTCAGTACGGGATTTTCCTATTAGACGTTGAGTACTGACCAACTCAGTACGGTCTCGATCCGTTTAGCGTTAAGTACTGACCAATTCAGTACGGGATTTTCTTCAATGACAATTCCTCTTTCGTTAAGTACTCCGTTGAGTACTGACCAGTTCAGTACGGGATTTTCTTCAATGACAATTCCTCTTTCGTTAAGTACTGATCAGTTCAGTACGGTCTCCTCTGTAACGTTAAGTACTGACCAGTTCAGTACGTTCTTTTCTGTTTGATGTGAAGTACTGACCAATTCAGTAAAGTCTCGATCCGTTTAGCGTCAAGTACTACGTTACGTACTCCGTTAAGTACTGTAAGCGCAATATCGCTTGAAATTAAGTCACGCGTAGATAAAGGCTATCCCGGTCCAGAACAAACAAGAAGCCGGTCACTGTTTCTACGGTACTATTAATAAACAAATCAATAATTATATATACAACAAACCTTAACGGTTTCAAGAGTACAAAGCACAACGCTTAACAGAAAGCAAGGTACCGCTATCAGAGCGGAATAACGTTAAAGTCAAAATTGCGAACTAGCCGGAACCAGACACGACCGTTCAGGTAAGCAGTCAGTAGAAGAATGAACCCAAGTAAGGCATGGCATAAAACAGAGAGCGTTTAAGAGAGATAGACCGAGCATAGGCACAAAGATAGAATTTAATTGGCTACTTAACCAGGTAGGAAAATACAGATGAAAATCAATAAATAAGATAAACTCGACAGAATAGTACAAAGTTAGACATGGGTCAGCAAAAATAACAGTTCACAAAATACTCTGATTGGGCCATGAGTTCAACTGTCTGACTAAACGGATCGAGGTAAAAACACATACACACAGTTCATTAAACAAGCAGGGATAGACACGTTAGGCATGGATAATTGGGTTGCAACAACTCTAGGCTGATCCGGGACAGGTTGACTTGATTCAAGGATGGGGATAGAATTGATCTTACACCCATGTCTCCAGAAGACAGTTGCCCTCTTCTTCCTACTTCGCCCATGTCATTTTCTAGAATAACCCACTTTTTCCCACTTTACACAGTTTCAAACGGAAAACTGCCTACGTTTCTACCCACATATCCCAGGTTCGAAGAAAAATTTTCCAACTGAAATCCATGGATATCAGTGACTACGACCTCTTGGGTCCCAGTGTATTTCTTGATTTGTAGTTATGCGTACAATATTTTCTCCGTCAATATATTTCTTAATCGCGTAGTCTAATATTCTGTATTTCTTGCGAATTAATGATGTTAAGATGACAAAAATGGTTGTCAAACTACCGTTTAGTGCCCAGTCTTCTTTGAAAGAAATGCTGAATTATACTTGGGAGCCTACGCTGTTAAGTGACTTCACAGCATACAGAACACCAACTAAGTTAGCGCTCACGAAATGCAGATTCTATGAAGTCATCGCGTGTAAGTTTGCTTTATTTAAAAATGTCTTTCAGCCATCATTCCTAGCAAGTTCATTTCTGCTACAGAGCCCGACGATGAATCGAGGAAGACTTTGAAAGTCACCACTCTAAGGCCTACTTCCACAATGGCCGTGATCGCATAGCCTAAAGGAGAAGTCGGTGGAAAGTATAATAAATATTTTCAGGTTAATAAACCACAAACAGTTTCATTGTATGCTTCTCAACCAAATTCTGATTTCATGTTTACACGGTAGTTTATACAACAAAAATACTGACCTGAGAGCTCTGAGCTTTCCCATAAGTGACAATTTCATCGAAATGAATGCTGTAAAAATCTGTAATGCAACTGCCAGTAGGATGTGATTGTAAATGTAATGAGATAATTAGTGCTGTCATTCATATGAATCAAGGATAGTGAAACAAAAGATTATCCAGTGCACCGACGAGCAACAAAAACACGGAGTTGAATGCAAGCTACAATTCGCTGAACAAAAGAGTGAAGAAGAGTGTCAGGGAAGACAAAAGAAAATATTATGAAGCCATGGAAAGTCAAGCAGAACAAGCTGCAGGCAAAGGAGACCTCGCCACACTCTACCAAACAACTAGTCACCTATCGGGCAAAAGTTCGACACAGATTAAGCCAGTCAAGGATGACAATGGAAAGTCAATCACCATAGAGGTGGAGCAATAAAACACTGGACTGAACACTTCTAAAGACTTCTAAATCGTCCGTCACCTGCAACGCGCCCAGCAATACCAACAACGGAAGCAGTACTACCAGATAACATTGATCCCCTGACGAAATCAGAAGTCCTGAATGCAATCAAGATGCTTAAAGCTGGAAAAGCAGCAGGACCAGATGGAATCCCAGCAGAAGCATTGAAAATAGACCCAGAGACAACAGCAAACTTGATGACGCCACTGCTGGAGAAGGTGTGGAAAGAGGGCAAAGTACCTGAGGATCGGAAGCAAGGATACTTATTCAAACTACCAAAGAAAGGAGACTTAAGTCAATGCAAAAACTGGCGCGGAATTATGCAAAATACTGAGCCGCATCATCCTGGAGAGAATCAAACAAGCCCTAGATGAAAAACTCCGACCGGAACAAGCTCGATTCAGGAGAAACAAGTCATGTGTTGGTCAAATCGCCACTCTACGAGTCATCATTTAACAAGGCTTAGAATGGTAGTCACCTCTCTATCTCAACTTCATCGACTTTGAAAAGGTCTTCGACAGCGTCGATCAAGTGGTCATTTGGCAGCTACTTCGCTACTACGGGGTCCCATCGACAATTATACATCTCATCGAACAGTTATACGACAATGCTGCATGCCGAGTAATCCACAACGGGAAACTTACGGAAGCCTTCGAAGTGAAAACGGGAGTAAGACAAGTTGGCTGCCTGCTATAGCCAATGATCTTTCTGATTGCAGTAGATTGGATAATGCGACAGACAACGGGCCGGGCAATGAGGAAACAGGCAGAAAAAATGAACTCACACAAAAAGAGACTTGGAGGATCTGGACTTCGCTGATGATATACGTCTGATTTCACACAAACTGGAAGATATGCAGTTGAAAAGGAACAAGACGTCAGGAGAAGCATAAAAGGTAGGACTTCAAGTGAACATAGATAAAACAGAGGTGATGAAGATTCCTGGCCAACACCAACAGACAACAATCAGCCAGCATAAATGGGAGGAACCTGAAAGAAACAACCTCCTTTACTTACCCTTGGGAAGCATCATTTCAACTACAGGTCGATGGAACTGACGAGGATATCAAAGCCAGAATCGTCAAAGCAAGACAAGCTTTCATTACTCTCAAATCTGTGTGGAGGTCAACAGCACTCACCATCAAAAATAAGATCCGGATTTCCAACTCCAATGTGAAGTCAGTCAGTTAGTGCTACTACACAGACCAGAGACATGGCCAGTGCGTCATAAATAGCATCTCAAACAAACTTCAGACCTTCATCAACAGTTGTCTTCGCTCAATACTCAACATCAGATGGCTGGCGAGAAAACATCAGGAACAGGGATCTCTGGCAATGAGAGAACCAACCAGGAACCGATTGTGCAACAAATAAGCAGGAAGAAATGGAGATGGATTGGCTAGTCATACTCTGAGGAAACAAACCATCAAGTGACATCACTAGACAAGCCATAGCTCGAGTGGAACCCGAAAGGAAAGCGGGTGGCGAGTTGGTCGTCAGTGCAAGGGTGACTTGGAGGAGGTCATGTAAAAAGGAGATGAAAGCATGTGGGCAGACTTGGAGCGAAGTGAAAAAGTTGGCAGAAAACAGAAGGCAATGGAGATGCGCAGCTGAAGCCCTATGTTCTTTTAGGAATTAAAGGATATAATAATAATAATATAATAATGATTCATATGAATTACATGTTTATGTAAACGGTTGGTTGTTAAACAGTTAATAGTTTTTTTTTATAATCACTAAATTGTTATCATATGTGTAGTGGAATTTTCGATGTTAATCAAGTTGAACACAGAATCACGTTTAAAAATTAGACCTTAAGTGTGACCAATTATTTAGAAATAATTAGGGTGATTTTTACTCAATAATTAACATTTAAGAAAAAAAACACGATTAATCCTTTTACTAAATTATCATTAGCTTTACAGTCCTAAGTCGAAGTGTGCTCGTTAATCTCTGCCTTCCTCACTAATAATCTTATTTTTTTCCTTTTCAGAATACTTCGATGGATCAACTAGATGACAGCGGTCAGGCGTAATTTGAAATTAACGCAACATTGAAAAAAAAATTTATCTACTTGTGTATGTAATTTGTAAATCTAACTGTTCGATTTCATTGATTGTCTGAGGACGGAGATACTGCCTGGGCGCCCAGACCGAAGCAGGTGGTTCTCTTAGGAGACCACCCGCCGAGCCTTTGATTTGGAGACTAATCTGCAAGGCAGCATTAGCAGTGACGTTCCCTCTGTTTTCCCGGTGACCAATACAGGTTCATACGCCTTTTGATCCGATTGGATTCTGGAGCCCACGTTACTCCATAGTAACTGCTTTTAGTCTAACTGTTATCCAAACAACTTTCCTGACAGGGTAGGACCTGCAAGAACACAAGTCCCAGGCAGTTTTGCTTGTTGGCTCACTGTGGTATTCAAACTCGACCACCGCGACAAGGCGGCAGTTCTCAGCCGGGAACCGTTCAGTGATCCTAAACAAATAATTTGGAGATGCGGCTGTTAAATTTATTTCTATTTTAAAACAATCAATAAAGGTTAATAAAGCAGGATTTAATGAATTCATCAAATTTCGGTAGAACTCGTCAGCTGAATACTCTACATACACGAATATATGTACTTTTGAAATTACATTGGGAGATATAAGACTGATAAGTAAACAAACTACATTGAATTAATCATGCAGAAAGACAGGTGCGAATGTTTTCCAGGTCATGTTCAAATAGATAAGGGGAGAGAGAGTATGAGAGATCAAAATTAAGATAAATTGCATTACGCTTCAATTACATCACTTAGATAAACAATTAGTCATTAGGGAATATAACAAGAATTGCAAACAGACTAATATCAATAGTAATAGTTATAATAACAATTTTAATAGTGTTGAAGTGAGTTAAGATAATCTTACGGATAAAGCATAGATTTAAATGAATCAAGAATAATAATAATGATAGTAATAATAACAAAAATAATAATAAGAAGAGGTAGAATAATAGTAATAACAAGTAGAGAATAATAAGTAAAGCGTATTACCATGGTAGATTCAGAGTGACGACCATCTCCTTTTGTATACAGAGGGCTGGTTTGTAAATTCGAATTGCACAAGCCTCTGCAATTGCAAGCATCTTCTTGTTTCTTTGTTTGCTGACGATGGTGAATGACTTGACGGCGTCGATATCATGTCCGTAATCCACGAGATGTTTTGTTATTGAGGATTTTTGGACTTTGCACTCAGCTGTTTTCAACCATTTTGGCAAATGCTCCATCATGCGA